CCATTAGTTGATGCAAGTTCTTAATTATGTTGATGTTCTATATTTTTTGGTATTTTTTAGAAAGGCTGATAATGGTTGTTCCTTTCTATTTGTAGTGGTTCTTTCAGAAGCTCTTGTAAAGCAGGCCTGGTGGTGATGAAATCTCTGAGTGCTTGCTTGTTCACAAAAGATTTTATTTTTCCTTCGCTTATGAAGCTTAGTTTGGCTGGATGTAAAATTCAGGGTTGAAAGTTCTTTTCTTTAAGGATGTTGAATATTGGCCCCCACTCTCTTCTGGCTTGTAGGGTTTCTGCTGAGAGATCTGCTGTGAGTCTGATAGGCTTCCCTTTATGGGTAACCTGGCCTTTCTCTCTGGCTGCCCTCAGTATTTTCTCTTTCATTTCAACCCTGTTGAATCTGGCGATTATGTGCCTTGAGGTTGATCTTCTTGAGGAATATCTTTGTGGTGTTCTCTGTATTACCTGGAGTTGAATATTGTCCTGCCTTGCTAGGTTGGGAAAGTTTTCCTGAATAATATGCTGAAGCGTATTTTCCAGCTTGGACTGATTCTCTTCGTCACATTCAGGTACACCTATCAAATGTAGATTAGGTCTTTTCACATAGTCCCATATTTCTTGGAGACTTTGCTCCTTCTTTTTTATCCTTTTTTCTCTAATCTTGTCTTTTTGTTTTATTTCATTAAGTTGGTCTTCGACCTCTGATATCTTTTCTTCTGCTTGATCAATTCGGCTGTTAAAACTTGTGCATACTTCGCGAAGTTCTCGTGTTGTGTTTTTCAGCTCCATTAGTTCATTTATATTCCTCTCTAAATTGTGTGTTATTGTTAACATTTCGTCAAACCTTTTTTCAAGGTTCTTAGTTTCTTTGCATTGGGTTAGAACAAGTTCTTTTAATTCCCAAAAGTTTCTTATCATCCACTTTTTAAAGCCTGCTTCTGCTAATGGAACACAATCTTTCTCCATCAGGCCTTGTTCCATTGCTGATGAGGAACTGTGATCCCCTGTAGAGGGAGAGGTGTTCTGAGTTTGGGTATTCTCAGAAGTTTTAGTCTGGTTTCTTCCCTTCGTTATAGATTTATCCATCTGTGGTCTTTATAATTACCGCCTTTATAGTTGGGTTTCTGAATGGACGTCCAACTTGTTGATTCCCAGCGCTAAAATCTGAGCAACCCACTGCGCCGGCCAAAACAGTGGCTTTAAGATTGATGGTGCTTTTCTGACTCTGCACCAAGAACTGCCGCACCAAGGCAGCAGCAAAACCAACTCACCGGCCTCAAGAGCCGCGCTGGTGACCCGTGGGGCTCCTCCGTTGGGAATCTCCTGGTGCGTGAGCAACAAAAATTGATCTGAAAGTGTGGCGTCCTCTCATTCTCTGAACTTTCAGTGGGAGCTACAATCCTGAGATGCTAGTGATCAGCCATCTTGGATCTCTCTCCTGATCACTTCCTGCAGTCTTTATTTCTTGACCAACTAATCTATGCTAGGTCCTGTGATTTGTGCTGGGGTTGCAAGGGTAAACCAGACACACGTCTGCAATGTGAACAATAAAGAAAAAATTTCATTCTAATATGATGAGGGCTGGGACAGAGGGATGCATCGGGAACATTACAAGCAGAGAGAGAGAGAGGGTGTGATGTTGGACATCTGATATTTTCTGCCAGTATTTTTTTCTTTTTTTTTTGCCCCTTCACCTTGTAAGTGCACACCTTTATTTTGCAGAGCTAAGTTTCCATCATTTAATGGTGTTCCTGGCATTCTTGTGACCATTGGCTAATTGTAAACCCCTCCACTCAAATTTGGGCATGTGATCCAAGGTGATCCAATAAGGTCCTTTCCAAGGTCCTTCCCTGGAAATTTATAAGCAGATACTAATAGGAGATCTTTCCTTCCTCTGTATTACCAAAATCACTCAACACAAGCTGGGAGATATGTGCTGCTTGACCCACCATTCTACCCATTGTATGGAAAGCCGCTTCATGATATAAGAAAATGAAATCAAACCGTAAGGTGAAGCAGGTAATTGTGATAAAGAATAAACAACTTCTGGATAATTTTTAAGTGTCTAGAGCCCCTTGAAGTCATTCTATCTTTGTATTTCCCAATCACATGGGCCAGCAAACTCTCATGTTTATTCAAAATTTGAACTTCATATACAGCTATTTTTATATAGCTTTTTCACTACTTCGAATCTGCATAGTATTTTGTACAATTATCTTGTGTGAATTCCAAGACAATATTGTGAGATCAGTTGGTGTTATTTTCTAATTCTATTTTCATGAGAAAACTGAAATCAGAAAAGTAATGATGCAACTGAGTTTGGTGAAGGTAATTGTGGCTGAATATGAGAGATAAATAAAACTTTCTGGTATTTAGGACAGGGTTTTAATCACATTCATCCTGAGGTCTGATTATCAGACCACACATTTTAGTGTTCATTCATGGCATTAATATGAAGCCTATCATAATATTCTACTATTTCACATCCATAAATATCGGTTGGAGTTCAGGCAATACTTCCACTTTGCTAACAATATGTGAGCTTAATGTTGCTCTCTCTCTTTCTCATAAATATGAGATATTTATAGAATATGAATATTTGTATGAGAAGCCAGAGAGATGGCATGTATATACATGAGATACATATAAACACATATGTGTAAGTATATATAAATTACATATATAATATATAATGTAACAAAATAATATACATGTAAAATACATATATAATGTATATATATGTATATTTGTATGCATATACTATATTTATATGTATATCTGTACATAGGATATATTTATCATTCTGACTCAGAAAATTTCATTAAGAAACATGCTTTAGAGGTGCTGAGTAGAATTCCCTAAATAAGTTTCATTGTAACTACCACTTTATAATGATACTTTTCTTGTGTTTACAAAATGTGACCTATCAGCCTTAAATTGAAACAGGTTGATGCAATGTGGTCACATTACATCAGTTTGACTTTAGATATAGCCTAAGGTTTGAAATGTAAACGTGTGATTGGTTTTAGTCATGTCTTTCAAAAGCTTGTGGTCACTTGTTTTGGACAACCCAGTTTCTGAATTACTGGATATGCTTGAAGTACCTGGTCAGCCCATCACTGACCATTGTTGAAAGAGGCCAATTACCTAATCGCAAGTGATGTCAAAAGGCTTTCAACTGATCTCACTCCTGGGAAGAAGCTAGTTAAAAAGCTTGTTATTGATTTCTTCTTCCAAATATTCTATCTTTAAATTTTTATTAATTAGACTGTCAGAATCTTATTAGAGAGCATCCATATAAATTGATTCTTTTACAGTTTTAAAAATATGCATATATCTATTAAGATTTAATGTCAATATCTGCAGTATTCTTGTTCTGCTGTTATGTGGATGTGGGGATGGGAGTTTCTTGTTGGTTTGTTTGTTAATGTATGGCAAGAGTATAAGAAAATAACACTCTCAGAAGATTGATTTTTTTTTCTAGTCAAAGCCTTGTCTAAGACATAATTTAAAGTGCTGTTCATTGACCCTTGTGAAACACCCAAGTGATAACATCTATTTAATGTGTATCAGAAAAAAAATTATGTCAGGAATGGGTATGCTTACTGTGTCAAGCCAAGTTTTACCTATTCTATACCACCATCCTTGAAGGTAAAATACACATTTAATGTTAAATGGTGGGTTTTTTTCTCCAAACTAATTTATTCAATAATCACTATATCACAAGCACCACTCATTGAATGATGACGGTCTGCTAAGCACTTTGCTGATTTCTTCCATTCATTATCTCATTTATCCCCTCAATGGAAAAATTTTTTTGGATTTTATATTTTAATCAAAATATGTACATCCCCATGGTTTTAAAAAATGATCAGAATGGTTTATAATGAAAAAGAGTATTGCCATACTGCATTCTTTATTCCTGCTACTCAAAAGGAATCTCATTTCTCAAAATCAATGCTGCCATTATTTTCTAGTATTTAGCAGCATACTTCTAAAAGTTTATGTGCCTGATAATATTGTGTGACTTATTGATCTTGGGCATGTTTTTCTCCACACTTAACATCTTTCTATAAAGTATGCATAATTATAATGTTTCACTTAAAATAAAAAATATATGTTCATATTGTTATATCTACATAAATGAACATGAAATTTGTTTTTTCTTCCTTGAATATTTTTGAGTACTTTAGTGGAGCTAGTAATTGCCTGTCTTTACTTTCACAATATTCTCTAGGCTGACATCATTTTTTCTTTTTTTTTAGAGGGAATCTTACTGTGTTACCTATACTGGAGTACAATGGCGCGATCTTGGCTCACTGCAACCTCCACTTCCATGTTCAAGCGATTCTCCTGCCTCAGACTCCCAATTAGCTGGGAGTACAGGCACCCACCACCATGCCTGGCTATTTTTTGTATTTTTAGTAGAGATATGGTTTCACCATGTTGGCCAGACTGGTCTTGAACTCCTGACCTCAAATGATCCTCCCACCTCGGCCTCCCAAAGTGCTGGGATTATAGGCATGAGCCACCACACCCAGCCACATCATTTTTTAATACATCATCACATATACTAAGCACACACCCATTTTTTTCTCTTAAATGATTGTTTCAAATCATCTATAGTTTTTTTTGTTGTTATTTTTTTAAATTCCATGTGTCAGACCTATCTTATCATGTTCTTTTGCTCCATTTTCAACAGTTTGCTCCCTGAGCCTGATACAAAATAATCCATCTAGAACTTCTTTCCAACATAACTGTATGACTTAGTTATGAGATTTTTCTAATATGAAGAATTATTAATTAAAACATGATATTGTAGTAAAAGCTAAAGAGAGCAGATATAGGTAAGGGCCACAATCCCTAAGGTTATAATAGAACACCAAGGAAAAATCTCTCCCTTACTTCTAAGGTGCATCTAGATTCCACTGGAGACGATGTGACTGACCATGGATCACTGAGTGTTAGAGAAGTTCACAGAGGTGCTTTACCAGCAGGACTTACCACAGTCTGTACTCTGTAGTGTCATGGTGTAGCCTTCCACAGAGAGGTGCCATGCCTACAAACACAACATAAAACCACATGAGAGCATTCTGGAGAAGGGAGGGAGGTCCCCTGTACCGCTGACCGCTGGGCTACCACACTCTACAGGGACTGGGTGCTGTAGAAGCTGTGTGTGCTACAGGAACCTAGGGAGAAGAGCAAACTAGAGCCTGGAAGAAAAGACCCTTCATTCTCTAGTTTTCCTCCAGTTTCATGCCAACTGGCAAAGGGGAAATATTCATAAGGCCCATCTCCCTTGTCTTAGAGAAGCCTATAAATGATGCACTTAGAGCTTACAGGCAGTACTTGAAAACTGTCCCACACTCTTTTTAAATTTTTGCCATTTTCTACTATCTGAATATTTTCTTAACTTTGTCTTGCAACTTTTTATTGGATTAAAAATTTCAGTCAATGTATGTATATGTAGATATATACGTACATATATACACATAATCATTATTTCCTGTTTTTTGTTATCTTTTATGCCATCCTCTTTGTTTATACAGATACACCTTCTAGGCTTACATTATTAATAAGCTTTGGTTCAGAAGTTTTATTTCACTCCGTGTCATATCTGTTTTTTTTTCCAGCTTTTTCTTTTGTTTTTATTGGCTTAGAATTTTCCCTGGCATTTTGGATGCCTCTAAACTATCAGTTGATCCTTTACCTGTTTTTTACCTCTAGGTATGAAAATACTAATTTGAAGCTTTGAGCAAATTGAAGGGGTTTATGACTGGGCTTTATCATTCAAGTGAAAGAGTAGGAAATCGCTAATTTCACTGAGTGATCACAATAACCATATTTGAAATCCTTTTTCTAGAGCCATTCAGATTTAATCCGTCCTCCTGCCTCTGGTCTCTGGGCACACTGCTGTATGGCTTAGGAGAACTCAGGAGATAGAGCGATGTTCAACTCCTTCATAATAGACATTTAATCAGCCCCCCAAATTTTATTATCCTCACATATCTGTTGTTATGTATTGACTTCTTAGGATGAATTGGTTTGTCTTTCAACATTGTCTCCCTCTGCAGGCACTTATTTTGTGGTTCTGTCTCTCTTTGTTGAATCTTCCATCTTCAATTCCTAAAACTTGTTGAAGTCTCTTACATAGTGCCCTTTCTTCTTGCATGCTATTGGTTCTTGTAGATTAACACGATTTTTTATTTCTTTACTATCACTTGAGAGATGCATTCGGAAAGGAAAAGATAAATGTGTTCTTCTATTGTACGTTATTTTCTGATTTAACCGCCTTATTGAACAATTGTTTATTGAAGCCAAAATTATTCTTAGAAATGATCTAGTCACAAATAATAATTTTAGAAATTAATCTTGAGAAAATGATAATGTGGAACAGTAAAAGAATATGTGAAGAAGAAAAAATTTGGGCGAGTGAATGAGGGAAGGAATGAAAACAGAAATGAACATTTGTCATATCGGTGGAGAGCTGGGTGTAGTAGAAAGGAGAGTGGGCTGGCAGAATCTGAGTCCTTGGTTTGTGTCTCACTTGCTGTAAAGCCCTGGGCAAGTCAGCTCTTCAACTGATCTGAATTTTCTCATCTGTACAGTGGGTCAGGAAAGTTTGCGGCCAGAAATACGAAGGCTCCCTTCAGGACTTACATTCACCTCTGCTCCTTATCTTCATCTTTTTTTTTTTTTTTTTTGAGACAGAGTCTTGCTCTGTCACCAGGCACCAGGCTGGAGTGCAGTGGCACGATCACGGCTCACTGAAACCTCTGCCTGCCAGGTTCAAGCAGTTCTCCTGCCTCAGCCTCCCGATTAGCTGGAATCACAGGCACACGCCACCACACCCAGCTAATTTTTGTATTTTTAGCAGAGACGGGGTTTCACCATGTTGGCCAGGATGGTCTCAATCTCTTGACCTTGTGATCCACCCGCCTCGGTCTCTCAAAATGCTGGGATTACAGATGTGAGCCACCGCGCCCGGCCTTCATCTTCTTTTTAAAAAAAATAGCAAATACGTTTAAGAATAAGGAAGCCCAGGATTTTCTTAAAGCACTGGTTCTCAACAACTAGGGTGCCACAGACCCCAATGAGAAGCTGATAAATCTGATGTGGTCTTTAGGAACATGTACATATATACAAGGAAACATTCTGTTTACAATTTCAGAGAATTCTCAGGCATCTGGCGGCTCACAAGAGGATTGTCATTGCCATGAGGGAATGTTGCCCTTAGAGCTTTTGTTCTCCTCCAAGGTGATCTCTGGCCTTTGTCTTCTGCTGGGGACTGGTGAGGTATGTTTCCTTGCGATTTTGAGGCAAACCAGAACATAGTGAGAAAGTTGCAAAGAAGATTTTTCTTGCATATAAACCTTGTCATTCAGGTGAACCAATTTTCTCTTTGTAAATCGGGACACTTGCAAATGTTTCATTAGCTTTGGCCCAGATAACTCCATAACAAATGCATTTGCTGTGTGGGGCAGATGATGTATCGCACAAACAGCTTACTGGGCCCCCGTTAATTATATAGGGAGAATGAAGGAATTATGAAGATGCAGTCACAAAAATTCCATTTAGGGTTATATTTCCCTGGGAGAACTAGGTACTCCACATTGAAAGAATCCTATAAGCTATCTGACCTATTTTTTTTTTTTTCAACAAACCTGACAATGCATCATTCATTCTTTGTTTCATTTAGTTACCTAATATTTATTGGGCATCAAGTAAGGATGCTAGGTGCTAGAGATAAATAAATAAACAAAAGAGATATTGCCTTTGTCCTCATGGCACTAAAATATGGAGGTGATAGCAAGAAAAGGATCGCAAAAAAGAATATGAAATTACCGTAATTATCAGGAGTTAAAAGATTTAGGGGGTGGAACACATCTGGTAAGGAGAGGTCAAGGACATTTTAGCAAACTAAGTTACCTTAGAACTGAATTCTGAAGGATACGTTGGAAATAAATGGGCTGAAAGATTAGAGAGAGGGGAGGTGAAGAGTTATAATACCTTGGGCTGAGGCACATGTGCGATATTTGTTGAAAATAAAAAATGTCCAGTGATGCGGGAGCGTAAGAATATAATTAGAAGAGGTTAGAAAGGTATAGAGGTTACCCATGCAGGGTCTATAAATATCTGAACATTTTGATTTTTATTGCAGGGGCAATGAGAAGCCTATGGGGGAATTGAAAGGATACAGAAATTAATCAAAACACCAATGCAAAGAACTTCAGGTCAAGAATTGGCACAAGAAAAGCATTTTCCTGAATGTTTCCTGTGTGTACCGTTAGAGGAGCAATAGGCAAACTTTTCTACCAAAGGTCAGACAATAAATATTTTAGGTTCTTTGGGCCATAATGAGTTTTTTATGTTGCATTTATCTTTTTTTTTTTTTTTTTACAACACTTTACAAATGTAAAGCCAATCTTCTCTCAAAGACAATGTTAAAATAGACTAAAGGCAGTATTTGGGCCCTCAGTGTGTGCTGTAGTTTTCCAACCCTTGCACTAGATGACCATAAGCTCTATGAGGAAAGAAAGATAATAGTTCTCTCATTCATTATAGAATTTTCAGTGTCCAAAACAGCACCGGACACATTAATTTATTAAATTAATTAATGGCTGAGCCAGGTGTTTTAATTACTCAGTATATCTACTGATGACAAAGACAATATGCTAGTATCATTGTCATTGACTTTTTCATTATTGTTGCCATTGCCATTCTTGCTGTCATTATTCACAAGGCAAGGATAAGAAAATAGTTAAATTTGCCCAAGATCAAATAGCCAACAAGTGACAGAGCCAGAATTTAAACAAAGTCCATAAAATTTCTAATCGTATGCTCTTTCTTACGATTACTCTGCCTTTTATAAATAACACATAAACACTGTGTCATATTAATAAACAGCAGATGACAGAAGCACCACCAAACACTAAGAGGAAAATGTGACATTCAGAATGGGGGACAGAGAACATCCACTAATCTCTTTCTTCCTCCTGAGATGGCAATAAATGTTAAAGAATGTTTATGGGGCCGGGTGCAGTGGCTCACGCCTGTAATCCCAGTACTTTGGGAGGCCAAGGAGGGTAGATCACGAGGTCAAGAGATCGAGACCATCCTGGTCAACATGGTGAAACCCCGTCTCTACTAAAAATACAAAAAATCAGCTGGGCATGGTGGCGCATGCCTGTAATGCCAGCTACTCAGGAGGCTGAGGCAGGAGAATTGCCTGAACCCAGGACGCAGAGTTTGCGGTGAGCCGAGATTGCGCCATTGCACTCCAGCCTGGGTAACATGAGTGAAACTCCGTCTCAAAAAAAAAAAAGAATGTTTATGGGCAGAAAGCTTGAATGAAAGAAAGAAAGAAAGAGAGGAAAGAAAGAGAGGGAGAGATATGAAAGAAGAAAAGAAAGAAAGAAAGAAAAGAAAAGAAAAGAAAAAAGAAAAGAAGGAAGGAAGGGAGGAAGGAAAGAAAAAGAAAGAAAGAAAGAAAGAAAGAAAGAAAGAAAGAAAGAAAGAAAGAGAGAAAGAAAGAAAGAAAGAAAGAAAGAAAGAAAGAGGGAGGGAGGGGAGAAGAGGGAAGAAAGGAGAGAGCACAAGAGAGAATAAAATGAAAGAAAGTTTCATGGATGAGAGAAGCCAAACACTTTTCAACATCACTGCTCACTGATGAGGCCGAGTGTGTATGCATGAAAGGGATTTTCACTAAAGTAATAATTACCTGCCCAATGTGTTACAGATATGAATCTCTCTTATAATCTCCTATGTCCAGGTATTACTGCAAACTCTGTGGATTTTATCTATCAGGGAAGGAAAGTGTAAGTCTCTTCTTGTAAGCATTTTAAATATTTATGTTATTTTCTTGGCATTCCTATTACTTGGCTTGGAAGATGTTCCTTTTCCATGTCTCATGGAAGAAGAAAAGGAAACAACTTATCCAGAAAATTACACTTTTCACAATGGCAGCAAAAATTCAGGTGACTCAAAGGCCTGCCTGCCATGCCCTTTACCTACCCTAGTCGTCTTATGTAGATTGAGGAATGAGGAAGAGGGATGCTAGTGCTGTAATTGGAGGGTTGTTTGCCAGTTCCTTGCAAGATCTAGGGGTCAGACATGAAGGAGTGTGGCCCCAGAGTTGATGATTCTTAGGTTCTGTTTAGAATGTAAGTGACAGGATATTTTGTCTTTAGCTTTGGGACTTAGATACAATTTAGACCACATGAATAAAAATTTCATCCAACATCTTATTATAGCAATATTCAGTCCAGTTTGGAAAAATAGCACTGAAAATTACAGGAGGACATTTTCTGAGGGATACTGACAGTGGGAATGACTTGACAGACAGTCCAGTATAATTGTTAGCTTGGAAAGACTTGAAGATATCATAAATGGAGAGAGCATAGGGAAAAAAAGATAACCAGAAATCCTGGAAATAAACACACACACCAAAAACAATAATATGCTTAAAATGTAAAGCTAGCTAAAGTGAGACATAATTTTGAGCTATTTTATGATTGTTATCAGCAGAGTCTACAATTTTACTGGTGTTGTAAACATCCCCCTTGGCCTGATGGTGGCCAATGCCATTAGAAGCAATGTGAAAGCAAAGTCGCAGCATATTCTTTAGCTTTATATTAATTCAGTTTTCTTTTCTATTTTTTTTTTCTTTGAAATGGAGTCTCGCCTTGTTGCCCAGGCCAGAATACAGTGGCACAATCTCAGCTTACCGCAACCTCCACCTCCCGGGTTCAAGTGATTCTCCGGCCTCAGCCTCCTTGAGTAGCTGGGATTAGAAGCGCATGCCACCACGCCTGGCTAATTTTTTGTATCTTTAGAAGAGACAGAGTTTCATCATGTTGACCAGGCTGGTATTGAACTCCGAACTTGTGATCCACCTGTCTTGTCTTCCCAAAGTGCTAGGAATACAGGCATCAGCCACCGCACCTGGTGAATTCAGTTTTCAAATTCAATTGTTTGAAGCAGACAAGAAACACACCACAGAGGACTGAATTAGGTGGCATTCTCAGGGTACAAGTTCAGCCTTTGCTCTACTTTCCCTCTTAAAATTTGCCCCCTAATTACCTTGCTTGCCCAACCTTAGTCTCAGTCCTGTTCTAGCATTACTAACCACTATGTAAGGTTGCATTATTTTATCTTCCTATCATCACCAAAGCAAAGTGACTGGCATCATATAAGCTCCTGCCACTCAAATAGGGGTCCAAGGACCAGCAGTATGAGCTTCCTCTGTAATCTTTTGTGAAATGCAGAATCTTCAGTGCTAACCCAGACCAACTATAAAAGTATTTGCATTTTAACATAATCCCTAAATAGATTGTATGTTCATTAAAATTACAAATCACTACCCTAACTCAATTTTCTTCTTACCGAGAACCTACTTAACTTTTATACCAATTTAAACTAGTTGTTTGGATTTTGTTGTTCTTGTTGTTGCTATTTTAAAGCTGTCACTATAAAATACAGAAAAATCTCAGAATGAGAACTGGAAAGAAAGAGTAATACAATGGTGATGATCACACAATTTGGAGTAGGACAGCGTTGACTTCAAGTCTTAGTTTCACCACTATATAGTTGGGCACCTATTGACCTTTCCTTAACTTCAGTCTTCTCAAATGGGCACATTAGTCAGTTCAGGTTTGGCCACACTGTGTAACATATGGATCTCAAATTTCAGAATTCAATCTATACGTCTATGTATGGCTATGACTCTCCGCTGTGTTTTCTTTGCTTTGAAAAGTAGGCTGACTGGGCAGACTCAATCTCAGACCTTGCTAGTCTAATAGCAAAGAAAAATGAGTTATGACAAAGCCCACTCAAAAATCATGAAGCTTCTACTCAACAGTGACATCTGTCACTGCTACTCACCTTCTGCATCGCCAAGTCAGCCTTCAGTGATCAAGAAGCATACTCCTCTCACAGGGAGAGGCATCGCAGAGAGGCAAATGGGGGTGCTAGGCAAAATAGTAATCAGCAATGGAAAGAATAACAACACTACCTACCTCTCATATTAGCTTGAGAACTGAATGCCTTAAGACAGAAAAAGTCCTTGATCCTTTATTCCATAGCTGGGTAGCCATTTCCCCTTTCAGAGCTTCAGTTTTCTTACCCACAAAATGAGAATAATAAATTGCAGCACATAATAAATCTTTAAAAGTCATGCCTGTGTGGCACGTAGTAGGTACTTAGCGAAAAGAGATTATGGACAGAAATAATTATCTTTTTTTAATGCTTGCAGAAGTAGAAAATGCCTAATACAAAAAAAAAAGAAAAAAATTCTAAGTTAGAGGTGCTGGAGGAGGCAGACAAAACTGAGAGTTGCTTCATTCTCTCTTCCTCTGGGTTTGCATCCTTCTTTGCAATAGCTTGTCAGGAAGCCTGCTATCCTTTGGAAGCACAGGATGGAAGAGAGTGTGTGTTTGCAGAGATAACATGGAATGAGTTCAGGGGTTACTAATTGGGTTTCTGCTTACCTTTCATATTCATTCAGAATCCCAACCAGAAAAGGTGTTACAGCAGCCTCCCTCCATCTCTCTCGATCCCCTCCCCGATCTGCTGACAGCACACACATGTCTCTTCCAAAGTCACTTCCCCACTTAAATTGTAAGACTAATCAGAAACTGATGTGGCTACAAAACTGGGGACAGACAAACATGTCGCCTATGAAGGTATTCTGAGATTGGATTTGATTGTACAATAAAAGTCCACACAAGGAATATTTAACTCTCTCTTGGAAGTGGAGTCTGACAGAGCCCTGACCCTCTATGTGGCCCACATAGTTACCCCTTACAGTCTGATACTAGTTCGGGGGATTTAGAAAATGATGTCCAATTGCAAAATTCTTTTGAGTTTAAGAATTGCTTCCATGCAGTGCAACTCATTTAATCCTTCCTAGAGCTCTAAGGAGATGAACGTAGCTATCATGGTTCTAGTTTACAGATGAGGACACAAAAGGTTAGCGATTAATGTGACATGTTCTAGAACTCCTGTTTATTGTTGTTGTTGTTTGTTGTTGTTGTTTTGAGACAGAGTTTTGCTCTTGTTGCCCAGGCTAGATTGCAATAGCACGATCTCGGCTCACCACAACCTCTGCCTCCTGGGTTCAAGAGATCCTCCTGCCTCAGCCTCCTGCGTAGTTGGGATTACAGGCATGTGCCACCACACCCTGCTAATTTTGTATTTTTAGTAGAGACAGGGTTTCACCATATTGGCCAGGGTGGTCTCAAACTCCTGACCTCATGATCTGTCCACCTCAACCTCCCAAAGTGCTGGGATTACAGGCATTTGCCCAGCCGTGTGACATGCTCTCAAGGGCAGGATTAGAAAATGGTGAAGGCAGGGGGAAAGCCCATATCCTTTTACTTCCTTGTCCTTCACATGGTGTACACATTCCCTATGCCATGTTTTTTTCTCCAGAACCCCATTACCCTTTGGTGCAGTTTCTGGAGCCATAAACCTGAGAGACCAGACTCTAGACAGCACTGACCCCTCTGTCAACCCCTCCACTCTCATGCTCCCTTTGATGAGGATTTTCATTTTCCCATCACCTCTGTCACTACTGCCATTTAGCCTCCTGGCTTCCAGCCTTGACTATCCATATCCACAAAGCAACCAGAGGAAACTTTGTCATGCAAATCTGACATGTTACTTTCTTCTCTATTCCTTCAAAATATTGCTTTAAAACAAAACAAAACAAACAAACAAACAAAAAAACAGATACTCTGTGATATGACCTACAGTGCTTATTTCCTGCTCCCTTCTCTAACTATGACCCTCTCCATTTCCTTTCTCACTTTTGTGCTTAAGCCAGATAGAACTGTTTGAAGAATCTGATTAACCCAAGTTTCTTCTCTCTTTGCATTTTGCAAATCCTGTTCCCTCTGCTATATGGTTCTCCCCTCACTTCTCTTCCTGTTCAATCACTCGTCACCTACAGAGACTCTACAAAGGTGGTGCCTAGAAGTGTCCATGATGTACTCCTCATCAGGGAGGGAAAATGTTCTGAAAGCACTCCATGCCCCTGCAACTCAGTACTTCTTGCTACACTAGCGCTCTTCCGCTACTTTCCCTACTTTTAACAGACACACTAGACTGGAAGATCCTTGAAGGCAGGAACTTTTCTTACACATTTCTATACTCACAACTTCTAGTGCAGCACTGAGTAACACCCTACATCAGTCAATTTGTTAAAAACTAAAAATTCTTAGGAGGAGAGATTCTTCCACTTAGTCCAGATCACAGAAAAGTAGACTGTGAAGCTATCTCAGTCTTTCCGTAATTCCCATGCTTTAAATCATCCAAATTGCCTTGAACTTAAGGCTTAAGAAGATTTATGTGCAAGCCAGCCTTCCAGCTTCATCTTCCTCTCTCTTCCTTTATCTATCACATCCTCTATCTGAATAAGGGGACACATATCTTATGAATATCTAGAGGACTTTTTCTCCTGTTTGCTCGCTGTTTCATTTCTAGAACCGAGAAGAGTATTTTTCAACTTGGGCTGCATATTACCATTGCCTAGGAGCCTTTTAAAACATACTGATGCCAGAGCCCACGCCATGCCAATTAAATAGAAATACTTAGATGGGCCAAAGATCAGTATTTCTTAAAAAGTACACTAGCTTATTTTAATATGCAGCCAGGATTGATAAACCCTGGAACAAAATAATGCCTGGCAACAGAATGGGTATTTAATAAACATGTGCTTAAAGAAGAAATACATAAACACCCTGTGTTAAAATGTACTTACTAATATGCATTCTTTATCAGCCCTAAGCCCCAAGTACACATGCATATACTGGCTGGGAGCTACTTGAGGGTGAACAAACTGTATTACTTATTTTTGCTTCTTCAATTCTAACATTTATTAGAAGCTCAATGTTTATCAAATGAATGTGCTATTGTGTTTACCCAGGACAAGAAGCAGGAAGATCTATTGGACAGATGGAGAAGAGTGATGTAAATGAGGATGCATGGAAAGAGGACACTTTGGAGTCAGATGGATCTGATTTTGAATTCCAACTTTATTACCTACCAACTCTGTGAACTCTAAGCAAGTTTCCTCATTTGTAAATGGGGGTAAATTACCCCTCTCAGCATGATTGTGCATCTTAAATGGAAAAACCAGCATGAAAGTATTTATCCCAGTACCTCATACATTAAAGATACTTAGATAATGTCTCTTCCCTTCTTTTTTCTTTATCTTCCCTTTGACACAAGTCTAGCTAGGCTGATTATGTTGAACCTTTGAGAGATGGTCAGAGAAAACTGGAGAGAGAGAGAGAGAGAGACAGGCAGACAGACAGGCAGGCAGAGGAGGGCAGTGGGCAAAGATAGAAATGAGTCAGAGGAAAATCTGATGATGGTTATAGAATAATGAAATAACTGTTATTGACCACAGCCAAAACAAAGCCCAGTCTTTAAGCCTTGCATTAGGCAGTCTTTTTCCTCTGCCCAATCCAGACTTGTAGCATAGCCATAAATCACTGTCCTTCTTCATAAGCACCAGACAGTAAGTGCCATAAACTCTAGTGACACTATTTATCACTAGGTAAGAAATTCCATATAGGGGTTGCTTGGCGCAAGCTCCTAATCATTTGGAAGAACTCCAGACATGATGCCACATACCTTCTGTCCTAGGCTTTCTTAGAACAAGGGTTGAGAAAACAATGCTGACCAGGGAATGTAAAGCACCTGGGTTCTAGTTTACCTTTTATGTGGTCACAAATGTATTCACCTGTATAATGGAGGCAGGGACTCAGTGAGATTGTCACTCAATGTGCCTTCCAGAATTTCATAGATCTGGGGCTCTGGGGCTCACTGAAAGTGTAGTTTATCTCATTTACGCAGTTAATACATTCGACCAATGAGAGTACTTCTAAGGTTATTTTACTTGATCTCATCTATGGTGATGCTAAGACAAATTATTTTTTTGCAATGGGTTGAACTACAAATCTGAAGTGAAAATAAGAACTTTGTAATAGTTCTAATAATTTGTGCTAGTTCCCACTTGCCTTAATAACATGAATTCTAACTTTTGAGACTTCTCCCCTCTTCTGATTTGACCAGAACCTACAAGGCTCAAGTTTCCCAAAAAGAAAAGTTACTCCAAAGTGTAATATAGATCTGAAACCCTTCCAAAGGGGTTGTTACTAACTTCTTTCTTTCAGAGCTGTTATCATTTTTCTTTTAAATACTAGAAGCAATATCTCTCTCTCTCTCTAGCTCTCTCTCTCCCTCTCTCTCTCTCTCTTCCTAATCTACCCTACATTTTTTCCCCTTTTTAAAATCTTTTCTTAAAAATGCTATATTAAAATCTGCCAACCTTCACCAAACTTGAAGCTAGGCAGAGCCAACGAAATACCATATGTGGACAAATTTGATCAGCTAAACTTATGGAGAAAGTCCTTTACCTCTGATGTATCTTTCTTTGAGTTTCTCTTTGGACATGGTTTTTCTCAGCACAGTGGCGATGCATTGGTAAGGGCAAAAGTAGTCAACCGCATGGCCCAGTTTAGCTCACTATGTAATCATTCTGGAGTTTTGAATAAAGAATATCATGTAAGTACTCTGTTTCTTCTGTCTGTACCCTAGGAAATTATGCTTTTCTTAGTGCTCTCATGGGCATTGGCTGGGTCAAGAGAGAATTTCAACATTCAAGAATCCAGGGTTGCATCAATTGCCACCATTCCCACTATAATTTACAGATACTAGAAGAAGATACTGAAGACTAGAAAGTATACGTATGCACAAATGACAAGGATTTAGAAATCCAGTTGGTAACCAAATATCTTTCCAAAGGAATTTATTCTACCCTACCAAAGAAATACTCTATACACTTTTGGTTTTCTTTTCTCATTGCAATCTGCTCTCTCTTACACTTGCTAAGGTTTGCCTACCCTCTCTCCCAATCTCTGTCTCCTGCTTCCTTGTCTAGACTCATCTCCCAATATACTCCCCTTGCCCAGACCACCCCAGCCACAGATCCTCCCTAGTCCACAGGCACTCCAAGACTTTCCTATAACGAGGCCCTCGAGGCATGCTTTACCCACTATGGTGGAATATTTTAATGCTACTTTCCCTCCCCCACTCAAACATCAACTCCAAACACAAATTTTTTGTCTGATCCTTTGCTCCATGAAAACTAAGATTTTTTTTTCTGTTTTGTTGATATTGTTTCCATGTTTGTCCCTTCTAAATCTCATGCTGAAATGTGATTCCCAATTTTGGAGGTGGGGCCTGGTGAAAGGTGATTGGATCGTGGGGGTGAATCCTTCATGAATGCTTTAGCACCAAGACTCTCACCCCTTGTGATAAGTGAGTTCCTGCTCTGTTAGTTCATGTGAGATTTAGCTGCTTTTAAATGTGCGGCACCTCCCTGCTCTTTTCTCTTGCTCCTGCTCTCACCATGTGATGTACCTACTCCCCCTTCACCTTCCACCATGATAGGAAGCTTCCTAAGACCTTGCCAGAAGCGGAGGCCAATGCCATGCTGCCTGTACAGGCTACAAAACCGTAAGCCAATTAAGCTTCTTTTCTTGATAAACTATCTAGCCTTAGGTATGCAAAAAGGATCTAATACATTTGTTAGTGCTGTATGTCTGGTGTTTAGAACAGTTTCTGGCACATAGTAGGCAT